CCAATAATCCTGTGTTTGTTTTGAAATTTTGTTTCAGGATTATTAATCCAATGGATAATTAATCCAACAAATGTGTAAAATTATTAGTAATGGGGTAGGGGTGAGATTATATATCCTGAGTTGAGAAATAAAATAAAAAGACTCTTTTACCCTTGACTAAAAATTAAAACACTTACTATTTTTATATAATTTTATATTTTAAAAGGCTAAAAATAATTTTTAAAAATTTAAAAATATTTTTTGATATTTATTTTATCAAATTAGTTTATATTTTAAAAAAAAAATTAAAAAACAAACCAAACATGGCCTTTGTATTTTGTATTTTTATTTTGCTTTTATTTATTTATTTATAATTTTTTTCACAACCATGTTTATGAAGAAATTTTGATAAAGTAAAGATTGTGAAGAAACATTGATGGAGGAAAAGATGGGAAAAGAAGATAAATATAGTTGTAATCTTACATTCATATATTTTCTTATCCAATGCAAATCAAACAATAGATAAGGGGATAATTTATCTTACTAATCCAATTGGATAATGAATACCACACTAATTTGATGGGATTATTAATACCTTCACTATTAGTCTTGTAAGACCATCTCCAACGGTGAACCAAACCCAGCATCAAATTTAAATTTTGATGAAAAACCTACTTTTTCAAGCTCCAACCGTTGCACCAAAGTCATATCAAAATGAGAATTCAGCAAACAAAACATCAAACTGAGACCAAGACACAGATTTTACCAAATCACTGTTACTGACCGTTGAAAGTGGTACACCGGTCAACCAATCGGTTGCCCGGCCGGTTCCCTTTGAAATAACTAGGTTCAAACCGGTCAAAAAAGGTTCAAACAGGTAAAAAAAAAAAAAAAAATTGCCCAAACCGGTCGACCGGTTGGTCAACCGGCCGGTCGACCAACCGGTCGACCACTTCCCCAATTCTGCTTTGATGCTCACCGTTGGAGCGCCTCGTATCAAATTGAAAAAATCGTCATTTTTTTCATCAGATTTGATGAAAAAAGAAGTTAAGCGTTGGAGATGCTCTAAATCAAACATGGCCTCACAATATTATTAAGCCAGAAACTCCCTAATACACTGAGAAACCCATTATTTATAGGCTAATAATCCTAATTAAATTAAAAATATCTTACTAAATTTATGGATTTAAATATAACTAAATATTAATAAATATTAATGATAATCTATCAATTACATTTGTGGGATCAAAACGTCTTTGGTCCATGTAATGGACCCACACAGGCTTCGCCCCAAACTTCAAAGATGATAATGAGCTTCCATTCAGTCAAAGGTCAAGCCATCACATACACTCCAATGAGACTAAAGAGTTCGAGAGGAAACTAAATGCCTCCTTTATTGTTCCAGTGCCAACGGATTGTGCTATGGATGATATCAAAGATTATAAGTTGACTAGCAGTGTTTATAAAGTCTATAATGCCTTTGTGGAAGGAAGACAACACCTTGATGTGCTACTGGTGGCTAAAAAGTGCGTGAGCTCTAGAATAGAGAGAAACATTCTTTGCAAGCTAGATATTGAGAAGGCATATATAGGATCATGTATGCTGAGATTTCTTAATCAATTTACTAGAGAGGATGGGCTTTGGGGTGAGGTGTTGTAGGTAGATAAGCTTCAGCATCTCTTCTGTAAAGTTTTTTTCCAATAGTAAACGGGGAAGATAAGAGCTGTTTTAGAGCTCTAGGGGTTGTGATGCTCAACTGCTACTCTTTTTCATCCTTTTAGAGGTGCTTAATCATATGATTCAAAGGATGGTTTTGATAGTGAGATATTTTGGACACAATAGAGGTGATGAGATCGTATTAGAGTTTCATTTTCTATTTGCTAATGATACTACTTTGTTTTGCAAATTTTTTTTTTTTTTAAAAAAAAAAAAAGGAAATTGAGAACTTTGAGATGTGTATTACTTTGTTTTGAAATAGTGTTGGGCCCTAGGGTTCACATGAAAAGGAGTGACATCATTATGATTGGTGAGGTAGATGATGTGGATATTTTGGCAACTGATTTGGAACGTAGGTTGGTATCTGTCTTCGACCAACATGGAGCTTCCATTGACTTGTCCTTCAAAAACAAGGCTTCTAAGGATGTAGTGGTGGAAAGGTTTGAGAAGTGGTTAGCTAAATTGAAGAGACAATACCCATCTGAGGGAGGCAGGCTTACTCTCATCAAAAGCACCATTTCCAGCCTTTCTATGTTCTGTGGTCTATTTTAACTATCCCTATCTAAGTTGTGAAGAGGTTGGAGAAATTGATGAGGCACATTCTTGGGGGGATGTGGGAAGGGATTGAAGTGAAGTTGAAGTATCATCTTGTATACTAGGACAAGGTTTGTTAACCTTTGAAAGGAGGCTTGGGGATTTGTAGGTTAGAGGTGTTCAACAAAGCCTGGTTAGAGGAAATGGATGTGGAGCTTTAACATGGGAGAGGAAGAGATGTGAACAATGATTAGGGGAAAATATGGTCATGGTTGGGGGATTGGTACACTTAATATAAGGGGTCATGATGTGGGAACTTGAAAAATCATAAACGAATATTTCTTTCTTTTGAAGGGCTTCATTGCTGGGGAAGGGTCGTAGAGTGCAATTGTGGTAGGATCCCTAGTGTGGTCAAAAGGTGGTTAAATAAGGTTTTCTAGACCTTTATGAAATTGCAGTTAATTCTTAAATCTAAATGAAGGATTGTTGGACCTTATCTACCATGGGAGTGCTACAGAATCCGATCTTCTGGAGAGACTTTTTCAGGAAGGATGTTTTGGATCAAGGGGGTGCAAAGCATGAATGGAAGATCCTTTGGTATGAAGAGAGTCCAAGAACAACACTTTTTTAAGTGGATTCCTTTTTATCGGAAGTTGGGGTAAGCGATGAAGGCTTTCCATAGAAAGTGATTCGACACTCAAAAGCTCCTTAGATGGCAACTCGAGAAGTTATCCTAATGGCGAATAATCTGAGAAAGAGGTGCCAATTTGTGTTACATTGATCTTGCATGTGCTCTAGAACACGAGGAAGAGTATGATTTATTTTCAATTGTACTCTGTGTTTGGAGTTGAGTGCATGATGTCAGAGTCAGTCAACGAGGGGAAAGGGATGTTGTAGGGGAAAATATAAGAATTATTGGGAAAATATAAGAATTATTGAATAACACCAGGTAATAAGCTATGTTTCATGGACTAGTGTATGGGTTTCAAGTGCGAACATGAGTATAAGTCAGATTCTTCAAATTCTTATGTCTAAAAGCACGAATACACAACTAGACATTCATATTTCATAATATTCTTCTTCGATGTTCTGGGGTTAAATGGTTTCTCAAAAGTAACATAGAGCATTTTATGCATAGAGTGAGAGTTTTATGTACCATCATACAGTAAACTCCATTACTAGACATGGTTACTACTGGCACATGCTCAACTAGACATGTCGGACAAATATCTTATACCTTTACCCGAGGGTAGAGTGTTTGTTTGCACAATTAGGTCACATGAATTTAGGAGTTTACTAAGGAAATAAATTAGACTCCATGTTCTTACTTTTTGCAAGAAACCATATCTTTGAGGTAGAGAAACCAAGCATCTAGAAGATTTTAGGAGAAGCATGGGTATGGAGAAGTCTCTCTCTCAAATGACCTACCTAAGGCAGCTAGACCCACACAAAGTAACGCATTGCAGCGAAACTTCATCTCCAACCAATAGACCCCAAAGCGTCGTAGTGCATGCTAAGTTGTTCGACATGTGTAGGCCTCACTTCTTGGACTTAGTGGAAAGACAGAAGATATCACCTAGACTACTTAGCTCACACAGGATGCTAGGAAGGTGACTCGTCACATCTCTTTCGTAATCGGAACCGTGAATTTTTTTATTTTTCGCACAATTTGAAAAAAGCTTACCGATGCGCACATTTTTTTCCCATAATCATATTTATTGGGTTTTAAAATAATATTGATCAATTTTTATAAATTTTTAAGTTTGGTCCAATATATTTCATATTTTTAAATCACTATAAACTGAGTTTTTTACATTTTATTTTAATAATTAATGACTTTATATTATACAAAAAATCAATCACTAACTATTATATATAAGATAAACAATGACAAAAGTAAGAGAATAAATAAAAACCTATATATATATATATATTAATCAAGCCAAATAGATAATGACCATACTTATTATTATTATTATTATTATTATTTTTCAAACAATATATAGATAGGCACACACAAGCAAAATGGTTGAGTGATAGCAGCTGAATAAAATAGCATAAGTCTTACAATTTCAACAAATCAATAATATGTTCTTCATCTTCCCTATTCTCTATCTCTATCTCTTATTCCTCCATCTTCCCTGTTCTCTTTTCTCTCTCTATCTCTCTTCCCCCATTTTCAACTTTTTTTGTGTGTTTTTTTGAAAGAAGCAATTTGAAACCGTTACGTAATGGTGCGTAATAGGCCGTTACGGCACCGTTACGACCGCTATAGCAGCCGCTACGGCCGATACACCTGTGAATCTCAATCACACTGCAAAAGCGGCCGTAACGGGTGGCGGTAACTACCACAACCGTTACGTAACGGCATTACGTAACGGTTGCGGCCGCTTTTTAAAACCTTGCTCTCATCAAAAGCACCATTTCCAGGCTTTCTATGTTCTGTGGTCTATTTTAACTATCCCTATCTAAGTTGTGAAGAGGTTGGAGAAATTGATGAGGAACATTCTTGGGGAGATGGGGGAAGGGATTGAAGTGAAGTTGAAGTATCATCTTGTATACTAGGACAAGGTTTGTTAACCTTTGAAAGGAGGCTTGGGGATTTGTAGGTTAGAGGTGTTCAACAAAGCCTGGTTAGAGGAAATGGATGTGGAGCTTTAACATAGGAGAGGAAGAGATGTGAACAATGATTAGGGGAAAATATGGTCATGGTTGGGGGATTGGTACACTTAATATAAGGGGTCATGATGTGGGAACTTGCCAAAACATACCTGCCTAACAACTTGTCGAAAATGAAAACCCGGCTTCCCTTCCTCTTCTTTCCCCAACAATTCTTCATTTTTATAATCCAAAGCAATTAAATCCTTCCGAACCTCAACATCCCCAACCAAACCACCACCCACCTCAACCCCACCATTTCTTTTCCCACCATCCATCCCCAAATCCATCCAAAACACAAACCCAACAAAGAAAAGATAAAACCCAACAAACCCAATAGCCTGCCATAGAAAAATCTCAGCACTAAGATAAACATAGAACAAGAACAAAGCTGCAGTCAAGTAAAACAACACGTCCCTCACAAAAGGCACAGGGTCCACAGAAAAGGGTGCTGCATAAATCGCCACAAACCCAACAACCAATGCCGAAACAAACGTCCCGGCCGACAAAATCGCGCCGAACCCAGTCCTTGGATGGCCTTCGCGGACCGCAGCGACCGATGCGAACACATCGGGGGCACCATTGCCGAGTGCAAGAAGAGTCACAGCCCCAATACTGGGTGACAAATTGAGGTGGGTAACGAGCTTGGTGACCACAACAGAGAATTGATCCTGAGCGGTCTTGACGTGGACATAGAACTGGAAGAGGATAGTGAGGAAGAGAAAGGGGACAGGCAAATGGGTTTTGGTGGAAGAGGCAGAAATGGAGAGAGAAGTAGTTGATGAGGCTGTTAGGGTCGCCATTGTAGTGGAGGAGAGAGAAAGAGCAGCGATTGTGAGGTGGGGTTTGGAGGATGGAGGAGCAGGAGAGGGAAGTAGTGGTGGTGGTGGTGGTGGTGTTGAGGAGGGACCTGTGGGGGATTAATGGGCTTGTGGAGGGGTAGTTTGGGGAGGGTGTGAGGAAGAGGAAGAAGAGGAGAGTGGAGAGAAGGATGAGTGAGATTGTAGGTGTTTTGAGGGAAGAAAGGAAGAGAGAGAAGGCCATGCCATTCCAATCCAAACAAGGTTTAAGCTCTTTCTCTCTTTCTTGGGTGAGATTGGAGAGTGATGAGTATTGGCTGGTGTGAGTCTGTGACCCTTTTTTCTCTCTTGAATCTTTGACGCGTTTTCGTTGCTTTCTCAACACCTGCAACAGGGCTGTGCATGATACCGTTTAATTCGTTAAAATCGCATTGATTCGTATTAATTCACATCGTTTTAATAGTTAGTTGCAGTTTAAATTTTAAAATTTATAATCTGTTAATCGAATCATTCCGCTTCGTAATAGTTGATGCATATATATTTTTTAACCTTTAGTAAAATATCAATGTAAAAATGAGTGTTTAAGATATTTAAAATTTGAAATTTATTACAAATTAATAGTTATATATATGAAACTGTGGAGACATAATTTTTGAATGATAACACGTAGCCGAGGTGTCACTAAAGTGCCAGTCGAGGTACCACGTGTCCTGGTCATGACGCCGAGATCATCTCGGCTAGGTCGAGGTTATCTGTGAAGATACCGGAATCCGAGATGAGCGGATAAGGGACAAGAGTCTTAGAATGAGAGAGGACTTCAATTTGAGTAAAGATAAGACTCTTAGAGAGTTTATCCCAATCTTACTGGGAGTCCAAGATTAGCAGTAATCCTAAGTTTATTGAAGCTAGATTTTTATTGGGACTAAGTTTGTGTTGGCTATAAAAGAGAGACACCTTCATGGGTCTAAGGTATGCTTTTTATGCTTTGAATAGTGAGTTAAGTACTTTTGCTATCTTTGAGAGATAATTGACTTGATCGTCGGAGTGCTCCCGGGTGGACGAACCACCGTCGGAATCTCTTCTTTTTGTGACAGGTCGATCGGGCTTAATCTATTCTGCCAGTGTTCTCCAGCTAAGTGCTTGATTGGCAGTGTGGTCAGAAATTAACACACACAATTTGGCGCCGACTGTGGGAAAGAAAAGAGAATAGATGGCCAACGACGGACAAAAAGAGAAGGTTGGGGACGACACCCCTACGGGGAGCGAGAAACACATTGACCTTGACGTCAAAGAAGACAATTGCAACAAAGAAACTCGTGAGTGGCATCTCCCCCATCGTGTCCTCCGACAGTTTGGTTGGGTCCAGTCCGTGCCGGATCGGTTCGACACTGAGTGGCAGTTACACGTCACTGATAGGCGTGGCCGAGCTGGCACTAACTGGCATCTATTTTATATGCCAAATATACAGTTATGGGATGCCCGTCGGGACAGTATTGTACAAGCTGACTACAGCGATGAGGTGATCCCCTCTTCCGACCCTTATATGTTGTGGTATCGGCGACATACACACCTACTAGTTGGGAATCCGAGCCACGTGTCTTAGTCTGGGTATCAGGGAGTTGGGCCTTATCTTGAGGCATTGGTGAGTATCATATTATGTGTCAGATAATTATTAAAATCATACTTGATTTACTTTCAGTCAACAGTAGCCTAATAATACATCTGAATGTTTGTTCAGGTGGCTGGAGCTGGGAGGTCGTATCACTTGGCTGAGGACGCCCATTTCAGACGTGATGGACAGCATGTCTTACAGGCCGTTACAGAGATCTGAGAGTTATTGTACCAGGCATTCTAGGTTGCCCATCAGGGAGATCGTCTGCATTACGGCCACTACGGTGTACACAGTTCAGCAGCTGCTCCAGACACATCAGCGCCATCCACGTCAGCGCCTTCCACTTCAGCGCCTGCCACATCAGCTCCTTCGACATCAGTCACCCCCCCACATACTACCCCATACATATCTGGCATACCTTATGTGCCTAACCCTGATTGGACACCGCCCCGATACATGCATGACGTTGTTACCCCACCCACCCAGTTACCACCACCAGACAGTTTGACCGCGACCATAAGTACACATGATGCAGTTCTCACTGACATCTCCCACGTTGACGATGAGGCCCATATTGAGCCCCCCCCCCCAAGAGCGCGCGGGAGAGGCTGAGGTTTTGGTCGTGGCGGACGTTGCGGCCGAGGTCGGGGTGCGGGCAGAGGCAGAGGTTGAGGTCCAGCTGCAGATCGTGATACAGTTGCACTAGATGATGGAGTTTCACAGCTCACAGCAGTATCCGATCTTCATCCACAGACAGGATCAGGGGCAGCACATGCAGTAGAGGGGAGGTCACACTCACAGGCTCCACAGGATATGCATTTACGATTGGGGGAGCCAGATATTCAGAGAGTCTACCGCAGGAGACCGAGGAGGGAGGTCCACGGTCAGGGTTGTGGGACTGGGGGCAGGTTAGGGCATTAGCGTGTGCGATATGGAGTGTATAGTTTATTTTATTTATAGTTTTTGTAAATCAAACTTGTACAGATGATATAAATGTGTCATACTTATTTATTCCAAAAATATAATTTTACAATTTTTTATTCTTACTTGTTTTGATGATTTCCATAAAAATGAAAAGGAAAACAGAAAAAAAAGGATAAGAATTGATAGGATTTTATTAACGAGGGAGATTGGAGGACCACTTGTGTTGCTACAGGTTAGTAAAAATTGTATACAAAAAAAATCTGAGAAAAAAAAGTAAACATTGCATAATGGATAGTTGTGGGGAGAAATATGAATAAAAATGAAACAAAATAAATATTTAAACAAACACATAATTTTGTTTTCCCTTTCCTTTCACTTTTCTGAATGATTGCATTTACTGTCTTTTTTTCATGTACAAAGCAATGATAACCAAACAAAATGTAGACATATATATATTTGTTGTTCATCTAGCTTAAACGTGTATTTCAACTATTTGTTATATGAACCTGTAGTTCATTAAGTATCATTATTATATTCCACATCAATAATGCATGAAATCATGAAAGTATAGTTCAAGTAGCGTTCTTCAAAATAACAATAACAGACAGAAAGTAAAGGTAGAATAACAAGAACTATTCGAAAACAATTGAAATATCTTCCTTCATTGATAAGTCGTGGATAAGCATTACAAATTGCATGCATTACAGAAATGGTTTGGTCGTTCATCCAAACAATTTCATTCATTATCATCATCATCTGACATCTCAATATCAGATTCATACATAACATACATGCTCCAAGCGAAGTACTGGTGTGCATCATCCATTAACCCATCTTCGGCACGCTCATTTGCGGTCTTCATTAGTCCGGACCTTTGCAAACGTTGGGTCATGCGATTAACCTCGTCGCGGATACGATGCAATGCCCTTTGCAACAACTGTGGAGTGTCAGTTGGCATACGCATGGCTAACCGGCGAGGAAATTTAAGATTAACTTCACGACATAGCTCAACGAGAACGTTTGCTCGAGTTTTGCGAAATTCCCACTCAGCTCTCATGGTATTGACGGTGGCACGTGAGTAACGCAAATTTGGATTTAATGGGTATTCAAATTCATCTCCATCTGCAACCCAATAGCGACCCATTGCTGAATATAGATCAACCACCGTATATCTCATGATGATATCGCTCGAAATAGCTATAAAACATTTGTTGTGGTATGATGCGATATTTATACCATATATACACATGGTAGCTGTATGTATGAAATTATTGTAAACAACTATGCATCAGAGTTGTCACGTCAACTTTTATGACCTGAACAACTATGCATCAAATAGTAATCCAAACAGTATGGAGACAGACGGGGGAAAAACAAGACATCCCAAAGCCATATCATGGCAACTCGGAACCTCTTAGTGAGGCACAAAGGCTGGCTTGACAAAACTGGAGTCTAACCCACGCTCCTAGCTCCGATCTGGTGGCTGAGCACCTACATATATATATAAACAGTGAGCTAAAGCCCAGTGAATAACATAAAGCGTAAAGGGGTTCAG